TCAGGCCTGGGTGAACTTTGATCGGCTTCACTGGAAGTGAAACGTCTCTATCGCCCTCTGGTGTCTGGCTGGAGTATAGGTCCTAAACCCCACCTCCTCCATGTTAGCGGATGGGACTGGGGTCAGGCTGATATAAAACAATTCTCCTCAGATAATTTTTTCCAAAAATTCTTTCTTACATTATCAGTAGTTCTCATCGCACTGATTTGTGTTCAGTTGGTCTCCTGTCTATTAAGTTTGATTCTAGTTAAACTTATAATGCTGTTAAAAATCATCACAACACTTCTGACTCGCAGCTGCAGTCACGGATAAACTTGCGTCTCTCTGTTTGGGAGTAGCAGATAGAGCGTGGATGCCGAGAGGAGCTCCAGCGTTTACGTTACTGACTGTTTCAAACAGACAGCCTGAGGTGTTCTTCAGTAAACTACCCGACAGAACAGAGGTAAGTTAAATGTGTTTGTAAGCTAATCCGTAACTAACGTCCTTAGCTAGCTAGCTAACGGAAACTCGTTTTGTAAAGTTCGTTTAGCTAATCCGAGCAGGTGAATGAATTTACCCTGACTAAGGAAATGAAGAGAAACGCCCCGGGCCGCTCAGTTACTAACTAACTACCGTTACTGTACTTTTAGACTGTAAGAGCATCAGGACTTCCTCCAAACTTCAGTCCAGCTGATTATTAAATATGTGCAAACAGCAGCATGTTTTCTGTGTCCTGTCACATCTGTAAGGACAGAAAGACCAACAAAAAAAGCTTGCACTTCAGTAACCCCCCATTAATTATTAATTAAGCATATAACTGTACCAAAGCCCAATATTTATGTGCTGATACCAACTACGGCCACTTGACAGCTTAAGTTAAAATGTATGTTTAATTTTTCCACTTATGACTTTTTTTAAAACTAAGTTTGTTTAAAATATTCAGGTTGAAAAAACAGTCTGATTTATTGTTAGTGAGGTATGTTCACAGTCACACGTGCAGTATTCTGTACAGCTTTACATCCTTGAGTTGAAATAATTTAAAGCATTAATGTTTATTTCTCAGTTCTCAAGCAGCAGGTCACACACTGCTGAGTGATAACACCTCCGTATGTTGTGACCAGGATGCAGCAACAGACTGAACCAGGACTCAAACCTGCTCCATCATGTCATCTTTGCAGATCTCCATTTATACAGCACCGACAACTCAAAGGTAAACATTATATTGGAAAATCTGTTAGTATATAAGGCTTATTTTAATGAACAGCTCTCTGTCAGCAGAACTGTAGAACTGAATAAATGTA